CATGAGCATGCCTGTAATTCCAGCAGCTTGAGAGGCTGAGACAGGAAGATTGAGTTCAAAGCCAACCTCAGCAAAAGTGAGATGCTAAGCAACTCAGTGAGACCCTGTCTCTAAATAAGATACAAAATAGGGCTGGGGCTGTGGCTCAGTGGTTGACCCCTGAGTTCAATCCCCAGTACCAAAAAAAATTAGGAGTGTGTTCAAGAGCACATTTTTGAGCAACTCTACCTGTTTTGCTCATTTTAAAAGTAAACTCTGCTTGGCACAGTGGCACACAGCTACAAACCCAGAGACTTGGGAGGCTAAAGCAGGAGAATCTCCAATTCAAGGCCAGATTCAGCAACTTAGTGAGACCTGTCTCAAACTAAAAAAATTAAAAGGGCTGGGGGTGTAGCTCAGTTTTAAAGCACCCTTGGGTTCAGTCCTCAGTACCCCCCCCTCCAAAAAAAAATAGGGTAAATAAATAAATTTGGTTCTTCGTACTAGAAATATTCTTAAATTGAATAATGGTTTCCAAACTCAGATTGCATTGGATTGGTTTTTTTTTTTTTTTTTTTTTTTTTTTAAGAGAGAGAGAGAATTTTTTTAATATTTATTTTTTAGTTTTCGGCGGACATAACATCTTTGTTTGTATGTGGTGCTGAGGATCGAACCCGGGCCGCATGCATGCCAAGCAAGCGTGCTACCGCTTGAGCCACATCTCCAGCCCTGGATTGGGTTTTTAAACGTTCTTATTTGTGTTGAAGCAGAACTGAGCGCACCATACAAATAAGGGGGAGTACTGATGCACATGCTTGTGAGCATGCATAGGGCAGTAAAGTATCCATCATTGAGGGGTGGTGGTCAGAGATTTTAATGCCTGTGGTAACAGAACTGGAAATATACCAGGGGTCCCTTTAGAGCAAAGGTAGTTGTGGGAAGAACTTGCCATGATGAAAATGGATATCAGAAAATGATGCTACCACCTAGAGCACAGAAAAGAGCATAAAAAGCTTCCGACTTCTTTCCTCAGCTACATCATGGAGAAAGTAGACCTCGTCATAGTCGGCGCTGAAGGAGTTGTTGAAAACGGAGGGATTATTAACAAGGTAGGAGAGAAGCAAGGGTTCTCCCAGTTCCTGCTCCAGACAAGGGGCTATTACTGACAGAATGCCAGAGAGCTTTATGTGTCCGTTCGTTCTATTCCAAATCTTAGCCTCAGGACTTCAGCAAGGTATCAAGTTGTCACTCCAATTTGGTTCAGATTTCCTTCCGGGCTCAGTGGTGCACACCTGTAATCAATCCCAGTGGTTTTGGAGGCTGAGGCAGGAGTGTGATCATGAGTTCAAAACCAGCCTCAGCAAAATTGAGGCACTAAGCAACTCAGTGAGACGGTCTCTAAATAAAATCCAAAATAGGGCTGGGGATGTGGCTCAGTGGTTAAGTGCCCTTGAATACCCAGTACCCCCCTCCCCACTGCCTAAAAAAGAAAGAAAACGTAGCTACAAAACTTAAGCCTGTAATATGTATTCACACATCTAACTGGAACATGAAGTTTTTGTTTTTGCTTTATTTAATCAAGCATGTTTGTGACCTCAGTATATTTCATTAGTTTCTCTATGTGTTGCTTAACTTGGAAAAGTTTCATATATATTTTTTTTTCCTCAATACAGGGGATTGAACCCAGGGACACTCTACCACTGACCTACATTCTTAGTCATTATTATCATTATTGTTGTCATTATTTATTATTTTAAATTTTGAGACAGGATCTTGCTAAAGTTACCAGGCTGGATTCAAACTTGGGAACCTTCTGCTTCAGTCTCTGGAGTCACCACCATGCCTGGCTGAAATAATTTTTTAAATTGTAGTTAAGATATATACATAGCTAGGCGTACGGTGCATGCCTATAAATCCCAGCAGCTTAAGGCAGGAGGATCTCAAGTTCAAAGCCAGTCTCAGCAAAAGTGAGGCACTAAGCAACTGAGACCCTGTCTCTAAATAAAATACAAAATAGGGCTGGGGATGGGGCTCAGTGGTTGAGTCCCCCTGAATTTAATCCCTGGTTATCTGCCCCACCCCCACCAAAAAAAAATACATAAACCAAAAAAAACTTTTGGTGGGGGGGGTGCCAGGGATTGAACCCAGGAGTACTTCATCTCTATGCTACATCCCAGCCCTTACAGTTCAGTGGCATTAAGTACATCCATATATTTTTAAATACAGTCACCATTGTCTGCTCGTAAAATTTACATTCTTCCCAAACAGAAACTATACCCACTGAGCACCAACTTCCTGTCCCCTCCCCTCATCCCTGGCCACCTATACCATACTATCGCTGTGATCTCTGACTCATTTCACTCAGTGTGACAGTTTTCAAGGTTCACCCACACCCTAGCATGTATCAGAATCTCATTCCTTCCTCTGTTTGGTACCAGGAATTCAACCCAGGGGCACTTAACCCTGAGCCACATCCCAGTCCCCTTTATTTTGAGACAGTCTTGCTAAGTTGCTGAAGACCTAAGTTGCTGGGGCTAGTCTTGAACTTGAGATCCTCCTGCCCCAGCCTCCTGAGTCACTGGGATTATAGATGAAAGCCACCATACCTGGCTATCTACTCATTTTTCCCCCCACACAAATATGGACCACTTCACAAATTTATATCTCATCCTTACTCAGGGGTTCCTATTTTAGTATATGTGCTGCCAAAGCGAGCACAATCTACTGTTTTCATGATGGACATGAGGCTATGAGCACCATTGGCTGGTGTGAATAGTGTTGCTTGTGGATATCTGTGAACAGGTATCTGAGTCCCTAAGAGTCACAAAATGGTATCGCATTGTGGTTTTCATTTGTATTTCCCTCCCCAATAACTGATGATGTTGAGCATCTTGCACTCACTTAAGGATCATTTGCATATCTTTGGAAAAACACTGTTTTTCTAAAAGGTCCTCTGATTCCAAAGTGAGATTTACATGTTCGTTTATACACTTTCCGTTGCTCCCAAGTTCCAAGTGTGCTCAGAGCTCATCCTCTGCTTTCTGACCCCCAGATTGGGAGCCACCAGATGGCCGTGTGCGCCAAGGCACAGAACAAGCCCTTCTATGTGGTTGCAGAAAGCTTCAAGTTTGTGCGGCTCTTCCCACTAAACCAGCAAGACGTCCCAGATAAATTTAAGGCAAGATTTTCCTATCTAAAGGGGTTCTTGAGTCTAATCTGAAACCTTTAAAAAAAACTGCAGTGCTAAGAATATTCCAGAAAGTCATCTCATTACTATTTTTGCCAATACTTGCGATAAAAAGATCAACTGGTGGTTACTGAACTTGAATGCGTCCCTTCCCCAGAACTCACACTCCATTCCAATTCCCACAGGCAGCCGTCTGTAGAGAGGCAGTGGCTAATCCCAGCTGTGGGATGCACTGTCCAGGCTCAGCTCATACCTCCATCCTTTACGAACCATGCACCTTGACCAAGTCCTTCTGCTGAGCCTCAATTCCTTCTGTAGAGTGGGATGGCACTAACTGACAGAGGAAGCCTTCGGCAGGGCTGGCTCCAGGCCGCTCTTCATAGTTACTCTAACTAGTTGCCGTGGGAGGTCTGGAGAAGGAAGTCTAGCAGTTGTGAGGGCCCCATGGTTTATTTCTCTTGTTATGCTTTGTCCTTGGCTGGTAGGCCACTATGGTGTGGCTCACAGCGGGGGGTCTGCCCTCCCATGGCCAGAGCAGCCTCAGGACCAGCACACTGCACATGCCAAGGCCTCAGCAGCAGAGATCACTGGCTGTGCCATGCAGACTAACACAGGTTCTTCTCTCCTCAGTACAAGGCAGATACTCTGAAGTCTGCACAGACTGGACAGGACCTGAGAGAGGAGCACCCATGGGTGGACTACACCTCCCCTTCGTTAATCACCCTGCTATTCACAGACCTGGGTGTGCTCACACCCTCAGCAGTCAGTGACGAACTCATCAAGCTCTATCTATAACCACTGGTCTTCCCGGTGTCCAGTGTACCTGCCTGGGGCAGGGTGGGCAGCCTCTCAACCCCTGTGAGCCAAGCCAAAAGGAATCATTCTATGGAAGACCCGTGGACTGTGGATTTAAATTACACGTCTTGGAGGATCTTTTTTACTCATGTGTTCTTGGTTCTGAAACCAAACCTAAATGAGCACCAAACCTAAATGAGCATACAGTTTCCAGAGACCTTCATTGTCCAGAAATAGCTACGTTATTGGCTGCTTCCCCGAGGGAAGACCAAGCCCACCACCCTTTCTCCTGTGCTGCTCCACACTAATTTGCCAAAAGCATCCAAGAAAGGCAGGCTGAGAAGCAGTGCCACAGCCAGACCCCTATGGTAAGGGACAGCAGCTGGCAGGACATGCACCACATGTGGAGCTCATGAGAAAGGCAAGGGACATTTGCTGGCTTGCATCTGCTCCATCCCCCTGGACAGGACCTAGCCAGTAAGTAAATACTGAAGTTACATCGCAAGGCAGGCAGGAGCAACATTTAGCAGGTATCATAAAGATACCTTCCTGCTGGAGTATTTGTAAACTTAGATTCTGAATCTGTAAAAGGTGAATTTCCTGTGAATGTGTTTGGTCCTAAACAGCTTTTTAAAAATATATTTGGGAACAAATTCAGCATTTTCAAATAAATTATATGAAAGATTTTGATACAGTGTTGCCTCAATACTGCAAGCTGACCTCAGGCTCCACACATTGGCAACAGCAAGTGAGAGGCCATCAGCCATAGCCATACAGGAAGGCACTAGACAAGGATATACTCTTTATCCAATAGAAGGAAAAACCATGTAATAATTCATTCCCAGAATATGAAGTGTTTCCTGGTCTTCAGATATTCACTAATAAAGCAGCCCTGAGAATATTAAAAAAGAAACCCCAGTACATTCACCACCTCTGCAGGTGCTCAGTGCAGGGCAAAGGATAAGAAGTCCAGGGGCCACGGGCACACAGAAAGGTCACTGCCTGGAAGTACTTAGGAACTTTAAAAATACTTTAAAGATACCAAGCTATACTTGACTTTATTTAGGTTTTTTAAAGTTCCTAAGTACACTTCGGTATCTGTTAAAAAAAATATTTACAAAAATAACCTTAGGGGAAAAAACGCTCTTTAGCTACAGGTGACTCACCAAAATAAACACTGACATCTATTATTTACACTCAGATTTTCTTCAAGACTAGTGTGCTCTGAGTGAAGTATTCCCAAGTGAGAAATCCCCTCATTGCTTCCCAGTCTGAAAGAATAGCTTCCAGGATGGACTCTTCTCAGTGTCCCCTGAGTGAGGGGCCACTTGTGCCCACCTGTGCTTCACCTAAGGCATTGGAATCAGCAGTCATCGTCCAAATCTGACATCTCCAAATCTGCTGTTGTGGCTCTTCTTTTGCCACTTGTCAACAACCCCTTCTCAAGTTGTTCTTCAGTAATTTTGCCTTTCTTAAACTTTTTCAAGAGCCTTGTGTCATTAAGAAGTTCCTCCATATCCTCGTCTTCGATATCAGAACCCTAAATGCAAACAAGAAACCAACAAACTTAATTCCTCAGCAACAGTGTAGTGAAACCAGCAGGCTTTTTTTTTTTTTGGCAATGGGCGGGGGAGAGAGGCAGCACCGGAGATTGAATTTAAGAGCACTCTATTGCTGACCTCTAAAAGTTGTAATCCTTGCAAACCTCCTGCCTCAGCCTCCCAGGTTGCTAAGATCAAAGGCACACCCAGCAGTTTTTACTGTGCAACGCTGTGCTCTCACATCAGCTCCCATAAACACAACTTCCCACCCTGCTGATCAACACAGTATAGAAATGTGACAGCCTCAGACAACTCCTATGTTCTATTGTATTCAAACGTTCTATTGTTATATTTGCTCAGAATTTTTAAATTTAACCAGTAAAAACTGTAAGCTTTACCTCTTCCCTTTTCCTTTTTTCATTCATCTTTTTCTTCCTTTCCTTTTTGGCCTTCTGCTTCGACCAAGCTTTATTTTTCATGAATTTTCTTCTCCCTTCATTTTCCATTTTCTCTTTTCTTTGTTCCTCCAGTAGTTTCTGCCTCTGCTTTTCTCTAGCTTTATCTTTAAATGGAATCGTGTCTGTATTAATGTCCACAGGCACAAAATCTGGAAATTGCTTTCCTCTCAGTTCTGGCATCTTAGGCATCCTCAGCAGGGCGAAACCTCGAGCAAGACTAGCAAAATCAAGATCTAATTAAATCAAAACACCAGCGTTAGCACACCAGAACATGGTCACCAGAACCATCAAGGAAGATTCCTCACAACACAATTTTTCTAACCAAAGCACTTAATAGATTCATGTGAATTAGAGTCACAGTAATAACTGTTTAACAAAGTAAAGAGAAATACTGAGCACCTAGTACTCAGTTGAGAAGTATCTGGTGAAGCCTAGGAAGTACTCCATTTTAAACAATTGGAAAACACTAATGTACCCCATACATTGTAACAGACAAAGCAATTTCATGTGTGTAAAACCATCAAAACAGAAACACAATTATGTGAAGCAAAGATCCAACCTACCCTTCAATCTGAAGATGAGGCTGCACTCATGCTTTGCGTAGGCCTGGACACAGGACACAAAGGCTTTCATGCCCTTTTCAAACACCGCTCTGTCGGCCAGGGCCAGGGCCCTGAGCTTGGGCAGCAGGTCCACTGTGTTCTTCTGAAGTTTCATCTCCTCCAGGGGGCACTGCACAGAGACCAGTCTCACTTCCCTGGCTTACGCCACCTCAACTCCAGGGGCCCCCCTCTGAACCAGTCCAAGAATACCAACAGCAGAATAATCCATTTTAATCTGAAAGCCTGAAGTCTGAATCCAGCCCAAATATTTTCCTTGGTCTATAAAGTATTTTACATTTTCAAAAGAAAATTTGAAAATAAATTTCGCATGATTCTGCTGTGACAGGAAAGTACAGCAACACTAGCTCTGTGTCCCCAAGTCATGGCCTTGGCCCGGACAGCAGTAGCCAAGGTGAGGCCAAGGCCCCACAGCCTCAATGCCTGCCAGGCTCCGAAGTGGGCACCCTACCCATCCCTCATCTATTCCTCTGACCATATGTGGGACAAGAACTGTTGTAGCCACCCCATTACTGGGTGTTCTATACGAAAAGAGAAGACAGCTTACTTTTTGGTTAATTGCCAGGAAATTGACGTACGACTCTTCCATGGGCAGGAGAAACACCAGGGCGCTGCCCCCATGGCCAATGCGGGCTGTGCGGCCACAGCGATGGACAAAGGCACTGTGAGGACAAAGGTGGGAGCTGAGTGGCGGTGAGCAGAACCCAGGCCCCAGCTACACACTGACACATCTGCACTGCTGCGGGGACAGCCGGACCCTATTGTCCAGCAAGAGAAAGGGGAGAACAGCTATCACACCAACACCACCATGAGTGCGGCGAGACGCCCAGGGTGAACTCCAGCACAACTCGAGTTAAACGTGTGCCTTTCTCTAGGATCATACAGGGAGCAGACTCAGAAAATTTGGGAAGCAATGAAAATTATAAAGAATAAAACAAATGATCTATAATCCTTATCATCACTTAGGAGCTTAGTTACGGATTTTTTATATATGGGAAAAATAATTGCAATTTCCACATATGGTACTTTGAATTGCTTTTCTTTTCCCCCTTAAAACAGCCTATCATGTACTTAGAAAAAAGCACACCAAAGGTTATTCACCCACTAATCTATTTTTTGCTATTTAAAATAATGTTTTGAACAAGATTGTGTTTACTTCCCCCATGTTCCTGGTCATTAAGTTCAATTCCTCATCAGAATGGTCACACTGCATCGGAGTACCTGGCGTTGCTGGGAGGGTCATACTGCAAAACCCAGTTCACTTCAGGAATGTCGATCCCCCGCGCCATCACGTCAGTGCACACCAAAATCCCACTACAACGGGAGAAAAGAGCATTCTGAGTAAGGATGTCACCATCTCTATCACCAATAGCAGAATAATCCATTGAGGTCTGCCAACTGCAACACAGAGGTTCTGGAAGTTCCACAGAAGCAAAGATGTTTTCCCCCCAGTATTGGGACTGAATGCAAGGGCACTCTACTAATGAGCTATATCCCTAGCCCTTTTTATTTTGCCCAGGCTAGCCAGGCACAGTGGCACATGCCTGTAATCCCAGTGACCAAATTAAAATAAACAAATACTTCTTGATGGTAATATTTCATTTTTTTCTTGCTCCTAAGAATCTCCAGAACTTGACGAATTCCCAAGAAAATGGGGATTAGGAAACATAGCAATTTTTTTTAATTAGTATATTTCCATTGAAAAACAGAACTGTGGTGGGCTAACCCTTGGCAGCCACTTCAAGAAATAAGTGATATTTTCACTCCACTTTGAAGCCAAGTCCTTGTCCAGCAGCTGCAGAGCAGAGGCAGGGTGGACTGGAATGGGGTTGGAAGCATGAGCAGTGGCCCAGTCTGGGCCTGGTGCAGATACCCACTGCACACAGCTCCAGAGCCCAGAAGACCCCGGGTACTCACAATCCCACGACCTCAACGTCCTGCTTCTCGACTAGTGGTGGGAAAACAAAGGTGGGGCAAAGCCAAATGGAGACTGCAGAGCTAACCAACAGCACTGGCACCTTTCTAAACCCTCATCTGCATAATCATGGGCTAAGAGCTTGGCCCAATGGCTACATAAACCCCCAGAGCAGCACACTCAGGCAGCAACCTGCTAGCGGGTCCCTCTGACCCTGCCAGAGTTGTTTCTATTCTTGAATAAATCCTGCTCCTTTTACTTTCCCCTTCCACTGTCTGTCAATTTCTGTCTTTAGATATCCAGAAAGAATCTGGCAGTGAGCTGCTGGGGTCTACTGCAACCCTAGAGGGCAGAGCCCACCATAAGAGGTGCAACACATTTACGCAGACCCCACATGCCAGCAGAAGTGGAGAAACACCAGTTTCAACCTTGCCCTTAAGACTACTTTAAGGAAGCCATGCAGTGCTTAAGAAAAACGGAAACAAGCTAAGCTCATCAGGAAAGCATGAGGTCCCTGCTGTATGGCCATCATGTTGACAACCTACAGGCAGCTTCTGTCCCAACAAGCCTACTCTGCCCTGCTCTGCCATATTCACCCAGTAGACAAACAGTTGTCAAAACTTCTCTGAGCCAGGCACCAGCAAATTCAGGAACAAACATGAAATACAAGGGTACAAGCAGGCAGGGAAGTTCAACGACTAAACCAGGGACCCCAGTGAAGTACACAGGGAATTGGGGCAGGAATGGGGCGCTGAGTATTTCTATGGAGATACCATAAGTGGGTATGAGATGGAAGAGGGCTCCAGGCAGGGAAAGTTTCTGAGATAAAGAGAGAAAAGGTGAGAGTGGGACCTTAAAAAGGTATAGTGGTTGGAGACCTAATACTGCCAATGAAGCCATCCCACCCCCGCAACTTGCGGAACTCCATGAAGATCTTGTTGCGCTTGTGTTTCATCTTTCCATGAATGCACATTATCTTCACGTTCTTCATAAGGGCCTCCAGAGCCTTGCCATAGTATTCCACACAGGCGCAGGTGCTATGAGGCGGAAAAGAGGGCTTAGGGCCATGCCCCTCTTGGTCCTCCTAAAATGGGGACGGGAGTGGTGAGCAACAGGCACGAGGGGAAGACTGGTGGCACGCCCTCTTTGGGAGGATGGATGGAGGACTAGCACCCACCACTGAGCTCCAGAGTGGAAATCCTCTGTCAATGAAAAGCATTAGACATGAGCCAAAACTCTGAGGGTCTTGCCCACTGTCAAAGATATTCAACCAAAGGGGTCCCCCAGTCTCTGAAAGAGGCTTAACTGAATGAAGTACCCATCCAGACAAAAACAAGGACAGAAGACATAAATAGGCAAGATTCAAAATGCTCTTATTCTTGGAGAACTGCTCCTTCCTCAATAAGCCAAGTTTGATCAAACAGATCCTCCCTCCCAGATAGTCTCGATTTGGGGCTGAATCAGCTGAGGAATGTACACAATGTTCCTATCCTGCTCTGGGATAACAGGACAAAACCCACCATGACAGATGGGTACCTGCCCAAGCCATTCCCAACCACTTCTTTCCTCACCTGCCTCTACTACAAAGCCAAAGTCAGCCAGGGCAGAGGAGTTTCTGAGAAAGCTTTCTGCTTATCTGATAGAAAAGTTATATCTGATATAACCAACGTTGCCACTCCACCCCATATTTCCCCCGTACCTGCCTTCAGTGCAGACACAACAGGGATTACAGAAGCTAAAGGTGATATTCAGGAGGGAAAGGCCAAGACAATCACAGACTCACTATCCCTGACACTGCCGAGACATTTAAAAGTCAGAAACTACCCATCTGTGCACCTGCTTCTACAGAAAAATAACCCTCCCATTAGAGCCTCAGAAGTTGGGCTTTCAATTATTTCAGCCTAGCACACCCCGAGAACAGAATTCATCCTAGACAGAATTCAGGACCCAAGGATCACCTATACCAGCATATTTTAGGTGCAGCTGAATCCCTCTCAACTAGAACCCGAAGGGTTACCTGAAGAAGACCAGATGTTTCTCCTGTTTATGATTTCGAAGAAAATGCACTAACTGATTAAATTTCTCATCTGCCTTACACACCTGTAAAATACAAGGAAAAATAAAATAAAAACCTATTTTAAAAAGAAAATATACATATATATATATATATATATATATATATATATATATATATATATATATATTTGGCAGTACTGAGATGGAACCCAGCACTCTATCACTGAACTACTTCCCCAGCCCTTTTATTTATTTATTTATTTTTGGTGCCAAGGATTCAACCCAGGGGCATTTAACCACGGAGCCACATTTCCAGCACATTTTTATATTTTATTAGAGACAGGGTCTTGATGAATTGCTTAAGGCCTTTCTAAGTTGTTGAGGCTGGATTTGAACTTGCAATCCTCTGACCTCAGCATCCGGAGTTGCTGGGATTATGGGTGTGCGCCACTGCGCCCAGCTATCTTTTATTTTGAGATAGGGTCTTGCTAAGTTGCCCAGACTAGCCTTGGAGTTGTCCTCCAGAAAACCAGCCTTAAGTTTTAAGGGTTACAATTTCCTCCAGAATCAGAGACTGAAGTCAGAAGATTAATCAGTCTACCTAGCTCAGAAATGTTAACATGTGCTGCTGCTATAAACATCTTTTTTGGTGCTGGGGAATTGAACCCAGGGGCACCTAACCACTAAGCCATATTCCCAGCCCCTCCCTCCTTCCCTCCCTCCCTCTCTTTCTTTCTTTCTTGAGACAGGGTCTCATTAAGTTGCTTAGGGCCTCACTAAGGTGCAGAGGCTGGCTTTGAACTTGCAATCCTCTTGCCTTAGCCTCCTGAGCCACTGGGATTACAGGTGCATGCAATCACACCCAGCTATAAACATCATTTTTAAGTCACAAAATCATAAAACTGAGAGAAATGTTGTTGGGCAGGCCTATAATGACTATAGTTAGGCTTCCTTACCTAGGCTTCTTGCAAGCTATGCTATGCTTTAGTATGCAGCCAGGGCAGGGAACTGGCTATGTTAGGGTTTCAAGGCCAGAAACATGCGGGGCATATAGACTCAAGGTCATAAACATGAACTTGTAAGCACGTGCCCCCTTATGTAACCTATTGGCAGTGTGCCTTCTCTGTTTGGCTTGCTTATACAAAGGGCCTATGAAAAAGACTCAGGGCTAAATAGAGGTAAATAAGGGGCAACAAAAGGGAACTGGCTGGGGGCTGAAGCTAAAGCTGGAGGCTGTGGCCACCTCTGAATGCGACACATCTTCTATCCTACTGCATCTTGCATCTTCTTCCACCTGTTGAATCCCACACTTCATTTCCTGGGTCTGAGCCCCGCACAACAAATGTCATCTAACACAACTGTTCCCAAATCCCAACAAATGGACAGGGAGCATGCTGGCTTCCACACCAACTCTCAGAGACACCATTAACACTATTCTGGGGCAGCAAGCACATTCTGCCTCAGCAGGTCTGGGATGGACCAGTAAGACACACTACCCACAAGCTCCCTGGGGTCAGAGGCCAGGTACAGAAGTCACTGCTCTCAGCTGGACACAGCTTTCCAGAAAGCAACGTGCATGATTACTGGAAGGACTTCCATGCAGACAGACCCCACAGTCTCTCCTAACAACCAGCCAGATGTTCTATCCAAGCCCCTCACTGGAGACATTAAATTGACAGGAACACATCTCCCTGATTTTCAGAAAAACTTAAAAATCTCAGTTTGGACGCTCCTCTCAATGCACCTGAACATCTCTAAATACCATCTAATAAATGCAAAGAAGTAGAAAGCAACAGTGCATACAGTGGGTATTCACAGCCATAACACTAGTATTTACTATGTCCTAAGCAATCCAAAACCCCTCTTTGTGAATGAATCAATCCTCAACAGCCCAGCAATGGGGACTCCCAAAGCACCACTGTACATGTGATGACCTGGTAAGTGCACTCAAGGACTTAGTGAGGGACGAAGGTGTGACCGGCACCAGGGCAGCCTACTCTAGTACCAGGTTCCACATACTGCATCCTGTACTGAGTCCTTCCCACCCCATGAAGAGCCAGCATTCCACCTCAACCAGCCTCGACAGAAACACAGCAGCAGGACCACCCACCTCAGAGAAGCCTGTCTAACTTCAGCAGCACTCCAGGCAGCGGCGCCCTGGGCAGTGCCTGATGTGCAAGCTCCTTCTACAGGTCATCTGTCATCTGCCCACGGGTCAACCAGCCAGGACGGCCACACCCACCTACCCCTCCACAGCAACTGGAACCCTTTGGTTTTGAAACCAACCCTTCTTTGAACAGCAACTGTGATTAGTGCCAAAGTGTTCTTCTGGGCCGAAAAGAAAAGTCTCGTCTCCAGGTGGACGGTCTGATGTACCCCATAAGCAGAGACAAGGTCCTGTGGGTCCTCCAGCTCCCAGTGCTACTTCCCTGGCTGCCAGTGCTTTCAGAGCCCCTGTGGCCCATCCCAGCAATGGGAGAGAACAGAACCTGAGAGGGTCCAGGTGGCCACGGTACTGAATAATCCAGGTTCCCAAAGTCTGTCCACTGCCTTGCAGAGATAGCCCAGAAAACAACAACTAGGACTGACACCTACAAATCCAGCCGGAATCAGACGCAGGTCAGAATTGCAGAACCTTCAGGCTTGGAACAGAACATTTAGGTAACAAATCTCCTATAGCCTGTCACCTGATTTTCTGTTTTGCCAGCACATCCAGCTGTGCCCTTTCACAACACAGGCTTATGCTACTGGCCCGGAGCTACAGTGCTGAACCATGAGTCCCCGGCACATCGCAAACCAATGTGATAAAAACAGCTGGTACTTGGGGAGGGAAGTTCAGAGGCACTGCCGTTGGGATTCCAAGTGTGCCACAGGGTCTTTTTCTTTTTTTGGGAGGGGTGATTGGGTACTGGAGATTGAACCCAGGGATACTCTACCCCTGAGCCACATCCCAAGTGCTTTTTTTTTTTTTTTAATTTTAAGACAGCATCTCACTAAGTTGCTGAGTCTGGCCTCCAACTAGTGATACTCCTGCCTCAGCCTCCTGATTCACTGAATTACAAGCCTGAGTCACTGCACCTGGCTCGCAGAGTCTCATTTTACACATTTACTTTCCCTGTGACCCTCAAGCACATTCCTAGAACACCACCATCATTCTGAATCCCAGGCTGGAGAAGACAAGCCAGTGCTCACCATGTAGTAGTTCTCCAGGCGGGAGGGGGTCTTCTGGGTGCTGCTGGCCGCCACACCCTTCTCCTTCACTGAGATGCGGACAGGGTTCCGGAGGCCTGCTCTCACCAAGTTCTCCACTTCCTGTGTCTGTGTGGCAGAGAAAAGGCCCGTCCTCCTCTGCTTTGGCAAAAACTCCAGAATGGTGTTTATGCTGAAAAAAAAAAAAAAGAGATCTTACAGTTACTCCATCACTAAGCAGCAGTGAACAGGTGTGTTTGAAGACTGGACAAGGGGCCGGGGCTGTGGCTCAGTACTAGAGTACTTGCCTAGCATGTGTGAGGCACTGGGTTCGATCCTCAGCACCACATACAAACAAAATAAAAGTACTGTGTCTACTTACAACTAAAAAATATATATATAAAATATATACATATATATATATATAAGTTAAAAATAAAAATATAAAAAGATTGGACAAGAAGCCATCCAAATATCTACAACTGATATTACTGAAATCTGAGATTATGAGTGATGTTTATTTATACTTTGTGGGAGCCAATCTTGTACATGACTGAGTTAACTCCCCTTCTGGGCGATGTGGTATCAGGCACCCATGCTGCTAGACTGACTGCCCCGCTCTTCTAGGGTTCAAGTGACTGTCTTTGTGCCTGGGCATGGCTTCCTACAGGCCCATGGGGAGCTATGCTCACCTGTTCCATTATAATATAATCCCTTGCCCTGTTTAGGATAGAATGTTCCATTGAAGTGCCTTGTGTGTGTCCCCTTCTCTTACTGTGCCCTTGGGTGTGGCCTACCTAGATGTCAGTCAACCTGCTGACAGCAGACATCATGAAGACAGACTCAGCCCCCTGAAACCCGACCACTTACCTCATTTGAATAGATTCTCCTCAATAAAAGAGGTCAGCGCGTGCTCTCTCTCTCTTCCTGCGGACCCTTAAGGTCAGAGGAGCCATCACAGCGACTCCAAAGAAAAAGGTATTTGTGTGTCGTTTGGTTATTTTGTGCAGCCCAATCAGCCCAGTTTTCCTGGAGTGACCCTTGAGCCTTTTAGTCGCGAACAGAAACCCAGCAATACTTTCATTTTTCCAAGGCTTCTCAATGTAATCATAAATGACACTTTTATACTTGGATGCCAACTAATAATGTGAAGTTAGGACAAAATTTTTGAACCTAACACTGTACCATGGACTTTATATAGGTGAACTGTATGCTATGTGAATTATGTTCCCTAAAAAATCTGGGTTTGCTTGCTGGTTTGGTTTTGGTGCTGAGGATTGAACACGGTGGCTCTCTACCACTGAGCTATACCCGTAGCCCTTTAAAATTTCTATTTTGAGACAGGGTCTCACTGAGTTGCCCAGGCTGGCCTCAAATTTGCAATCTTCCTGCCTCAGGGATTACAGGCATGTGCCCCTCACAAGCCAAAGTCTGTTTATTAAACAAAAACCTAAGGAAATCATGGGGGAAAATGCATTTTAAGATCAAAGATAAAAGAAATGAAATTAAATTGAGTGACAGAATCTGAAGGATAACCCACCTCATAATTTGAAACATCAGTGAGGCTAGTAAACAAACAGTCATGAAGTGATGAAGGTGTTTCATTTGGCTCTCCTCTTTCAGTTATCACCCACACCGCCAAAGTCAAAGAAGTCCAAAATGGGGTACCTTGCTTCAAATCCCATGTCCAGAAGTCTGTCTGCCTCATCCAGCACCAGGACATCCAGGGACTTCACACAGCTGACAAGGTCCAAGCCCTCACTCTTCCTCCGGAACATGTCCTCCAGGCGACCTGGAGTCGCCACTATGATATTTCCCCTTGGAAAGAAAGTCAGTATTTACCACACACTCTGGCCCTTGGAAATATCAGAGATGGTTCCCAAAATACCAAGTTCCACATCGCCAAAGTCACATAACCTCCATTAAGAAAAGTGGCCAGGGAAAGAACAGCACGAACTCCCCGGCTGTGTGGTATGTCACTGGTGTACAACCACAACCGCATCACTTGCCACCATCTGTCCTGCTCTCACACCAAAACAGCAGCTGAGCCACCATCAAATACTGAAGGTCCACATGTCCCAGAGAGAAAGGGTTTGCTGGCGTCTAATCTCACCAAGTGAGGGAGCATGCAAAGCCCCACGAACTCAATTTTTTTTTTATGGACACAGTATCTTTATTTATTTATTTTTATGTGGTGCTGAGGATCAAACCCAGTGCCTCACATGTGCGAGACAAACGCTCTACCACTGAGCTACAGCCCCAGTCCCTACGAACTCAACTGTTAAGAGAATCTGACTGGGCCAGCCGAGGCCCCAGAATGACTGACCTGCAAGAAGTCTCTTCCACAATGTGGATTATATGCCAACAAAGGTAAAGAACCAGGGGAACACACACATCTGGAATTCCATCTTAAGAAACCCAAAACTGGCACTGCTGGGCCAAGAGTCCTTCAGATCACAATCAGCTGAGTCTGGGTATGGCCCAGGCCAACCAGGTGGCTTACATCCTCCCTGACCTGAGGAGCCTGCCTGCAGAAGCACCTCTGGACTCTCCATCAGGCCTCAGCCATGCAGATGCCTCCGGAGCAGTGCCAAGGGCAACGGAAAGGAGCAGAAGCAGCAAGCTCACCCTTGTCGCCTGAACCTCTCGACATCTTCTCCAGGGTTCCTGCCTCCAATCCAAAGAATCTGGCTGAAAAAGGAAATAGGTCTTTGAGCAATTCAAGCAAAACAACAGTCTGTGGTGACAGGGACACTGCATCCAATTTACCTGAACTGTGGGAAGTGCTTCGTGAAATGCGACAGGACCTCATCGATTTGAATGGCCAGCTCTCGAGTTGGGGTGATGATTATGGCTCCCACCTACCCATGTGGAGGGGAGGAGCATGGTTAGCATTACCCAGGGCCCCAGAGCACCCACTATTCAAGGGGACAATTCTCAGGGGAACAGCACATCCTGGACTCCCGGCAGCCTCAGACCATGGCATGTCCACTGCTCTGAATCACAGTTATTTGTCATTACCGTGAGCATTGAACCACTGCTTCTAGGGGAATGTAGTCAGGGTCTTGCCAAGCTGTGGGCACATTTTCACCAACCAAATCAATGCGCAACTTCACTGTATACAGGCTTCTGTTTAAAAACACCGTATTAAATAAATATCGCTGACTTGCTCACACTGAACTCACGGCTCTATAACTCATCTACCACAGACCTCTGCATGTCACGGCCTCCTTATACTCAGAACACTCATGGCACCACAGCACTACACTACAGGCAATTAAACAGCAAAATCACCCCAAAAAAGCACAAAAATGTGCAAACATGTGATACTAAACAAACCACAAAAAATAATACTTCTCCACAGCATGAGGGCTGAAATTCAAAGAATTCTATGAATGACCATGAAAGCACCCAAGCATCAATTTTGGGGTCATACGTTTTAACAAGCAGACAAATTCAAAACAACAATGGGATAATGAGGGTCAGCTACCTTTAATCTTCTCAAGCTTCTGACCAGCTTCTTATTCAGCTGTAATAATTATTCAGTCTGGTAACCAAGTGGCAATAAATCCCGTTAGCTCTCCTCACCTGACTCTTTTTTAACTTCTCTTCCCTTCTCAGAAGAATTTCCAGGATGGGGATGACAAAGGCCAGCGTTTTGCCACTACCTGTGACCTGCAAAGGAGGACAAGCTTTGTGCTGCTTTTCCACACAGTGCACTTGAAGAGAACAACGAGGACAGGCTCTATCTGCAGGAGGAACTTACCGCTTCTGCAGCGACGTCTTTATTTCTCATGAACAGAGGGATGGTTGCAGACTGAGGAGAGAGATTGCAAAGTGTAGTTAAAGAATGCCGTGAACTCGCTGGTGAGGCCCTGGGAGCACACTAGGGGGCTAAGGTGCAGTGGACCCTGGAGGGCTTAACTCAAACGGGGCAATGGTATCTGCACAGACATGTGATAGGAGTCCTGGATTCAAGCCCTCTTTTTTCCCTCCTTGGGCCAGAAAGGGGTTAAAAACTTTGCGTCTTCAGGCATCTCCCAGCTCTGGTGTCCGGGTTAGAACAGGGATTCAAATAAGCCCCCAGTTTAAATACCAGGAGCTCCTCGAGTTTTACCAAAAGCTTGGCCCTGTAGCTTCAGCAACACAAAGCAGCTAAATCTGAAGCAGACACAAGTCTTGGTCCTAAGGTCACCTCCTCCAGGACTCCACTCCTGGTCTCCAGAGCATGGGCTCAGCCCTACCACAGCATGTGTCATACCATTCCAACTACTTCTACACAGGGCTTGTCAACCTGCAAGGTTTCTGTCCTCCCTCCCCCAAGGAACATTTAGCAATGCTGGCGACATTTTCAATTGTCAAACCCAGTAGTCTTGCTACTGGCATTTGGCAGGCAGATTCCAAGGATGTTAATATATCCTAGGATACCCCAGACAGCCCTCACAACAATGCATTTTCCAGATCAAATGTCAGAAGTATCAAGGCTGCAGAGCCTGCTCTAGACCACTATCGTCCGATACAAATATAATAAGAACCACATACATGATTTTGAATTTCCTATTTCTACATTAAGTAAAAAGAAACAGGTGGAATAAATTTAAATAATTTACTTAACTATATATTCAACCATTGTCGCTTCAATCTTTAGTCGTTACTACAAAATTAAAGATATTTCCCATTCTTTTTTCGGATTAAGTCTGTTATTTCAACAGAGCACATCTCAGTTGGGACTAAGTGCTCAAAAGCCACTAGGGGGCTGAGGTTGTGGCTCAGTGGTAGAGCGCTTGCCTAGCATATGTGAGGCACTGGGTTCAATTCTGGCACCGCATATAAACAAAAAAAATAAAGGTCCATTGACAACTAAAAAAAAAAAAAAAAAGCCACTAGGGCAGGAATGGACAACTCTAGGTGAGGAGTTCCAACTGGGACTGGGTCTTGTTTGTGCTACACTGCACAACATGGCACCCAGCTCTGCCTGCCCTGACATCCTTCCTGGTGGTTTTAGGCACAAATTCAACATTTTAAACAGAAACCTCTTGATTTTTCCCTCTGAACCTGTTAACCCCCAGCCCCAGCCTTCCTCATATTGGCAAATGGAACATCCACCCAGCTACAGAAACCTCAGGATCCTTCCAGAGTCTGCTCCTTCATAACCCCCACATTCAGCCCCTCAGCAATCTCAATGCCACCCTGAATTTTGACTTCTCCCTGTTCACTGCTTCCATTCTACTCCATGCCTCCATTCCTCACAGTCAACGGCCTCCAGAGGGACCTCCCTGCTTCTTCATCCTTTACACAGCTTCCCAGACACGATGGCTTCTCACTGCACTTAGAATACAATCCCAGCAGCTGGGTGCTGTGGTGCACCCAAGTTTAAGGCCACACTGAGCAACTTAATGAGAACCTGTTTTAAGTTTAAAAAAATAAATAAATAAAAAGGGCTGAGAGATGTAGCTCAGTGGTAAAGTGCCACTTAGTTTAAACCCCAGAACCAAAATAAATAAATAAATAAATTCAAGCCCCTGCTCTCCTCATCACGACTGGAACTACTCAGCTGCAAATCTCTCTGTTGCTCAAAGCTCATTTCCAGCCAGCCCCGGAGCAGTCGCACTGGCATTTCTCTCTGCTGCAATAAGCTGCCCCCAAACACCTCCAGCCAGCCCCTTCTCAATCATTCAGCTCTCAGCTCATGACACCTCAAACAGGCGTTCTCTAACACCCTGTTCTTGTCCCTGCTCCTATCACACCAGTCTGTTGGAGTTCCTTCCTAACACAGGAGCAGCTGAAATATCTCACCCCCCTTACTTCTTTCTCTAGCTCCTGCATTAAGAATAGGTACCAAAGCTGCAATATCCCCAGAGCCTAGAAAAGTACCGGATACGCGGCAGGTCCTCAATAAATATTGCTTGAATAAAGAAAGACATTGTGCAGTACGGTGCACTTTTCCCACAGTAACAACAGGGAACCTTCACTGACTCCCATAATGGACCCATGCTGTGTTTATTTAATACCCACAACCCTATAAGCCAGGTCATGTTACCTCCGTCATTCAGAGAAGGAAAATGAAGCAGAAAAGTGAAGTTACTGTCCGAGGTCTTACAGCTAGAGCGGAAGGGTCAGGATAGAAACCAGGCCCTAAGCCCCAGTAGCCCAGGGCGGAGGCCAAGACCACCGTGGCTGCCTGATCCACCGCTTCGCATCGCCGACACCTCCCGAGACGGGGCAAAAGCAGCGGCTCAGGGCGGACAACCCAGCGCGAGCGGAGTGGCCCTAGCGGCTGGTCGGCGCGGGTGCCCGCCGCGCCACCGGCCTCCTCCCACCCGACCCAGGACGGATACCTGCACCGGCGTCATGGACGAGAAACCCAGCTCCCGCAGCGCACCCAGCACCCGCGGGTGCAGGGGCACGGGCAGGGACCCCCAGGAACCCTCCGTCACGTGCTCCATAGCGCTCCGCAGCCCTCCCGCCGGGAACGCCCCCGCGCCGGCGAGCACTTCCGCTTCCGGCGGCAGGCTCCGCCTCAGAAGCGGAGAGAGCGGGACCCAGAGCGCGGCCGGTTCCGAGCTTCGCCACGCTCCGCGCACCGAGCGGGTTCCGCTACGCGAGAGGCTCTGCGCGGCTCCCAGCTCCCTCCGCCAGCGGAAGGCAGGTGGCCGCACGACGCTGCGTGCAGCCGTGGCGGTGGCAGGGCGGGAGGCGGGCCCGACGCAGGTAGACTCCAGCCGGTTCGCCTAGAAGTGGCGGCCAGAGCCCTAATCTGGAGCTCCGTCTCCCAGGGCCGGGCTCCCCGCCGCCTGCGTGGCTCATTGTCCTCGCTCACCTTCCTTCCGCGAGCTGGGCTCCGAGCACGAGTCCCCTCCTGCCCTCTTCCCTTGGGAACTCGTATTCTGATTACCGAAACCTCTACTCGGCTTTATTCCGCTCCGCAGTGTTCACCCTTAACGCACCATCCACGCACTCCGTTCGTTCATCTCCCGAGAGGTGAGGGTCTTCTACATCTCTTCCATCTGCGGCAGGCGGTCAGACCCGTGGGATGAACAAGCGACGCGCAGACTCCAGCCATCCCAAACTAAGTTGAGATAAAAGCCTGGAGCAACGTTCTCACTGAAATGAGCCTAGACCCAAGACAACCCTAACAACCGGTTCATACTTGGTCAGACAGCACTCACAGCAGGGGCACAGGGTAATCGCAATGCACTGTTTGCCTTTTGCCCTCGTATAATTTTCTGATCTTGGGACCTTTTCCAAGCCTGTTCTCTAATTTCCAAAATTATTTTACCCAAGGTAATGGCAGTTTTAAGACATAAATAGGACAGGCCATGTAAGGAAAGCACTTAGCACCAAGCCAGGACATTACATAGTACTTTATAAAGGAAGTTTCTAACGACAGAATCCTGATTCCACCTTCTATTTATATGGAGCTTTGGGCAAATCATCTATTCTTTCAAACCTATTTCCACATCCATAGTTAACAACAATCATATTTTCCCCAAAAAATAGTACTTAAAATGTTAATGATGAAAAGAAACTATACCATGTGGAAACTAAAGTGATGCCTTTTGTTCATTATCCTCAAGATTATAAAAAACAACAAACAACAGATGCTTACAGCAGCTGTAATTACTCATAAAACATGGACATGTCTCATACATAAAAGAAATTTGGTATTTGACAAATGTGAATTAACAACCATTAACATATAAAACACAGAATACTGTTTTTAAAAAGAATTGTTTATTTACTGAACCTGGGGCATATATTAGATACACAACCAATTTTAAATTTACATTTTTTAATTCAATTTTGAAGTGTTTTCACACACACAAGAAACAAATTGGTATGCAACAGTTGTCCTAAGGTGAAACACAGTCACCTTATCGATAAACTGTTGCAAGTATTTTCACCCAAGGCTGAAAAATTGTGTCCTGAACATGAAAACCTGTAACAAATTTAAATTAATTATATAAAACTTGTTACTTGTAGTTTTCCCCTTGCAAAGATTCAAAAAAAAAAAAAAAATGTACAAGTAACTAATATACATCGGTCACAACATAATCCTGGATCATTTCCACACCAAAACCCGATGCTCCTTTAATTTTAAACCTATCAGAGATCAAGAGAAAGTCTTTTCATTTTATATAAAACGAAATTCACATGTACCAAAAAAGAAACACCCAGGAGAAACAAAAAACAAAAACCCTAGTGCTGACACTTATACTCAGTGTCTTAAAGTGGCCCAAAGGCCACTCTCAAAAATAAAATAGTGGCTGTATATCACTGCAATGAAACCCAAGAGGCTTTAACCCTTTGGCATCAGAAACCCAGATTTTTTCCAATTATGTGAATGAACACTTCCCACGTGCCAAGCGTGAAAAAGGGGCTGTGCCAGTGCAGAAAAGAAAAGCTAGCATTTGCTCAAATACCCAGAGAATCGACTTTTCAGAGACTTCTTATGAGGTTAGGCGGAAACAAACAAACAAAAAAAAGATTATTAGCTGCTTGTGTCATCAATTTTCGTGGAGGTGATTGAGTCCTAAGGTCATATGTAAAAATTTGGGGCAAGTCTTATGTGTAAAACAAAACAAAAAGACCAAATATAAACACACCCAGCCTGATAGTACACTCCCCAGTCAGATAGCACTGCCATTAGGCTGGGCAGAAAATGTCAAGATTCAGACTGTTGCTTCACTCCATGAGTCAACAAAATGAAACTTTAACAACTTGAACCACAGGATGAGGGAGTCCAAAGAATGCAGCCATTTTAGTAAAGTACCATCAGGCTTTGTGTTGCTTTCCTGCATTTACTACAAAAGGGAAATAAGACATAATAAAGACTATACTCCTATATTTCATTTACAGTGTTTGAGTTCTGGAAGGACCTGTATGATAGAGGCAACATTCAAATAAGAAATTTTATGCCAATCAAATGTCAAATTTTCACTACAACTTTCCTAAGGTTTTTCCCCCAAAATCTATTAATCACAAAGAAACATAAGCTGTGAATGTACAGTTCAGAAAATAAAAATGTAGAAACTAATGACATTATTATGACCAAGATGTTTGGTAAACAAGTGAATTGTGAGTTTGGGATCATCAGGAAAAGGCCTTTTAAACAACCCTCCGAACTTCAAAAAATCTCTTCAGGTAGTAGATCTGTCCCAATGTCATGGCAACTAGAACAAGAGCTTCAAAGAAGGACCAAAGGACCACTCTGCTGTTTGTGTTGTCATTGACTGTTGAGGACAAACAAACAAACAAAATTTAATAACTCCGCAGAAAGGCACAGGCATCATCAACTAGCTCCTAGTTGTGAGTGAATGTAACAGGTGCACACCATTCACAGTACTCTAAACACTTCTGTCCCAAGCAACTAAACACTCTCAGAGGCAGAGGTTGTTAGCTTTACAAAGGACCTTAAACATTCACTGAGGGCAAGCCCACTGCACTATGTATAGCAAACCGGGAAGAAAAGAGACTTGCCCAGGTCATGCTTCTAGGGTTTATACCCAACCCAACCTCTTTTCTATCTATAGATAAAAAATGTTCTCCTGCATTATAATCTTTTTTTGGTGAATCAGAAAATTGTTTTAAAAATTTAAGGATTTATATCAAGAACATAGATTTATATAAAATGCACTATTTACACTAAGCCAAAATATGTGAACCTAAGTGTCTTTTTCCTTAAATATTTATTCAACAAATATTTACTAAGCACCTACCATGTACCTAGATGCACGGGGCTTCTCAGTTTCATGGAGCAGTTACTATCAGACTGTCAATACAAGACAAACTTCTCACCATTTATCCCATTCTAAAGCTATGAATCTGACCCTTAAAGTAAAAGCCATGACTACACTATTCATTTACTCTACTCACTCTCTCACAATCTTTGAAGTCAGAGTGACTTGTTACTAAGCTAGTCAGTATTTCCACTTTTCTGCAAATAGCCAAATATTGAAAACAATCACAATTAGCAACATTATGTTAATCAGCTGACTGACATACTCTTAGATATACACTGTTTATAAAAAGATCAACTAGATTGTAACAGCTATTGGACCATCATTCAAAAAGAAGTGAAAAGCAATTAACATTTTTCCAAAAGGATAACCTTATGGTTCCCTAAAAAGTTGTGCAATTTATAAGAGTAAGAACAGATACAAAATTAAAAATATAAACTAGAACTCCAAAAGCTATCAAAATCACTAAAATTTTAGAATTAATTCCATGACATGAAATTTACTTTTGCTGAAAATCTAGTAAACAATTTTTATCATAATTGTGAATGAATGCCATTTTAGTATTGTGTCTGAAAGAGGAATGGTTGAATAGATTCTTTAAAACATTAAGCAACTAGTAGTATGTTTTAGAGACACAGAAAAATGTGATTCATTTTGTTTTGTGTGAGTGGGGAATGAACCCAGTGGTGTTTTACCACTGAAATAAAGGTATTAGTGTCCATCTACAACTAAAAATATTTAAAAAAAAAAAAAAAAAAAGGTATTACAACACTGAAGTAAACAAAAGATCTCACTGTGTTCATCTCTGAGGAATCAATGCTGTTGAAAAAAATATATGAAAAACAATACTGTTGGAAACATATGATTTACAAAATTAAAATGTATATCTGAAAGTTCAATTCTATAAATTACTACAGGTTGAGCATTCCTAATCCCAAAATCTGAAATGCTCCAAAACCCAAAATTATTTGTGTTGTAATGCAAGGCTTAAAAAGTTTCACAGTCCCAGCCAGGCGCAGTGGCACATGCCTGTAGTAGCTCAGGAGGCCAAGGAAAGAGCACTCCAAGTTCAAGGTCAGTCTCAGGAACTCAGTGAGGGCCTAAGCAACTTAGTGAGGCCCTGTCTTAAAAATAAAAAATAAGTGATAGGGTTGTAGCTCAGTGGTAGAGCACTTGCCTAGCATGTGTGAGGCACTGGGTTTGATTCTCAACACTGCACATAGATAAGTAAAATAAAGGTCTACTGACAACTAATATATATATATATATATGTGTGTTTTTACATATATATATATTATTAAAAAAAAAAAAAAAAACCTGCAAAGCAGTGAATGCCCTTAGCTCTTTGATTTTCTTCAGGGCCCTTCCCACCCAAGAATGGGCTGGCTCCAACCTAGGAGCAAGTCAACCAACAAATAGGTCCCTAGCCATCCCTGAGGGTGAGGAGATGGAGAGTGGTAGGGGAGGATGTAGACAAACTGCTCCTTTTTGAGTTCCTCCTCCTTCCACTCCCTATCCCAAACTCAGAAAAAAGAATCCCAATTTAAATTGCTGTGCACATACAGATAAGAGCTTGCTCCCATTGAAATCTATCCCCAGGAGCTACTTGGACAATGAAAGACACAAGAACAGGTGTGGACCTGGTATAAAATATGGTATCTGGTCTGTGTGTCAACAGGGCACCTGTTAATTTTAAATGAAAAAACATAATATTTAATGCTCTATCTTGTATCAAACTTTTGCAACCTACCACA